ACTTCAGTATTTTGTTTGCCAGTTTAGTGACGCATATTTTCTATAACTTTAAAATTAGTACTTTTGCCTTAATGTAAACGTAATGCAAATAGTTATTTCACGTTTAATACGATAACTTTACTGTCTACACAATGTTTGTAACTTCATTGGATGTACTTGTCTTTTATTTTTCTAATTTTTCTATGTAATTAGATATTTTTGTGTACATGGTTTGATGTAACATACATATTAAAATCTTATGTGTTTCTAAATTCAAGAAAGTTTGTTAACTGTCTTGCATACGAAATGTTTTTCTTTTGAAAATAAAACGAAACGTGTCGAATCATTCCCATCGTGATGAAAAGTGAAATACGAGAACCTGAAAGGTTGAAGGTGAAAAAGATTTTGGAATATAAAATATGTCGTGCGCCTACGTTAGGTTTATCGTTGTCCATAAATAGATTTTTGCATTACAATTGAATTGTTACATCAAATATATCTAATTTTATTTTCTTCAAGATGTGTAATATAAATTTCGTAAATGAATGCAATATTGGGCTGGAAAAATTTAATGGATCTGATTCAGATGGTTGTAGCGAAAGACAGCCGAGAACCAGTCAAAAATATTTTTTCAATAAACCCTTCTCATCAACTACTAATAAGGAAAATATTTGTAAAGAGTTAGCTCTGTTAGTTCCATCTGCTTTAACGGGGTATAATGTCTGTATATTTATTGCTTTTGGTAAAACATATACTACCTCTATTTATCATCTATTGAAATAGAAGTCATGATACCTAGAACAGTATATATTGTTCAATATATACATATATTATTTACTAATCACAATGTAAAACAATATGTCTTTTTTAAAAAATGAAGGAATTTCAATTACTTGATTGGGAATATCGAATAGAAGATAAGCCAATTTTATTAGATATACAATGAACACATTGTTGATTTGCTTAAATCTCAAATCAGAATGACTAATAATAAGGAACACAATTCGTACATCAGCAATCTCACAGAGGAAATTAACATTCCTGAAGAATTGCATAAATTCCTTTTGACAGTACCATGCAATAGAACAGTTACAGATATTCAGTTGAATAAACGGTACACACACACGCTAGTGCGCGTGAATATGAAAATACAATTAGACTTAGAAATAAATGGAGAATTTAATTTTTTAGGTCGTCAAAATTGCATTTAGTAACGAAAATAGCACTTATAAGAACGAATAATTCAAAAGAGAATTCGTTAGGAAACCTAAATTTAACCGACTTAGTGGAAAAAATTTCATGCAGCAACTCAAAATTCACTCATTTATTAATGCAGTCTTTAGGTGGCAATTCAAAAATTTTTATGTTACTGAACATATTTTCTTTAGATGAATATTGTAACAAAACATTGGATTCATTGAGATTTGCTAGTAAAGTAAACCATTGCAGATCAGACAGTGCAAAGGAACGCGATTAGTGTTACAAAGCACTGCATAAAGTTTAAAAAAATAGTATTTTTATTATACGTCAAGATTTCAGTGTCATACCTTTTTATCATTATTTTATTCTTTTATAAATCGTACCAAAAACTGTGAATAGTTTAATATAAAATATATCTGCGTAATATTATCATATTGCACATATTCGTTCAGTTTTATTTCAATTTTCAAATTTTCAAGGATATTTTATATAATAAAAAAGTAATGCGTTTGAACTATGATCATATTCATTAGAAAAAATCTCTGCTGAAATTCGGACAAACCTCCTTCGGATCGACAAAACGAAACCGTATGCCCTTTTTTTAAATTGCGTTTTTTGCTAGCAATCGTTACTTTATGTAAAAAAATAAGAAAAAATTGGTCTATATACTGTTGAACATAAATATTAGTATATCTATTTGTTATACCTATTAGATGATTATAACAAATTTTACTTTATTTAATGTTTTTTGTTACAATATATGATACAAATGGAATAATAGATGTATAATAAAATAACTAGAAAATAAAAGCAATGAAAAGCATGTAATTTTATTAAATATCAATAAGTGCCCTATACTTGCAATATTTACAATTCATGGGATTCGATGTGGGCCATTGAAACCCTGGCCACAGACGAGATCATTTTTTAGCGCGACCCTAAATACCAATCGCAAGGTATGAGCTAAACGGACGAAAAGAACAACACATCACTTCTCACGTTGCTTAATCGAAGCTAGTTTTCAAAAACACTATAAAGAGGACTGAGAATTGTAACTATCAGTCCATTAATCTAGACTGTTTCAATTGGATTAATCTGATTTTTACTTCTATATCTAAATTAACTTTTATTTTTTAAGTTTCTTGTATACCGTGATCTGTTCGTCGTTGAACAAGTGGTTAGTAGTACCTCGATAATTTGTCATTGTCCCTTTCGCTCGTTTATCTGGTACGCCCTGATTGGTATTTGCAGTCGCGCCATGGCACGATCTCATCTGTGGCCAGGATACAAAGGCTCAAGCCAAGTCGAGCGTCATCCTATGAATTACATATCTGAATAGCAAATTTTGTAAAGTTTAAGTTTACTTTTATAAAAGTGTATATATGTCGGTGCTTTTTTCTGTACTCATGGAAAGGCTTTTAACCATGTTCGAATTGTATTAAAGAGTAATGAGTATCCCTTATTTTTTGCATTAAATAATAACAAATGACACGAAAGATGACGGCAGATAAAAATATAAATGCATTTCAAAAATTTTGTAATAACTTTAACGGGACATTCAACGAGAGCCTTTAAAAGGCATTTCAAATGCAAATATAAAAAGTCCCAGAGTCGAAACTGAAGGCGTAGATACAGAATATTGAGGAATTTTAAGCCCCGGCATGGACAAGCAACTTTTTAACGCTGCATTCTCGCTCGTCATATGTCTTTCCTTGTTTTTTGCCAGTTAAAAGCAACTAGAACAGACATATGATGCAGCGTCAAGAGGCTACTCGTCTACACCGAACCTAAATGAATAGTAAATTCTCCGTGAACAATCTGGATCGTTTAAATCATTATAAGTGAAATTTCATTTTTTAATATCTTCGAAGGTAAAGAATGTTGGCAATCTGGCTCTATTCCCTAGTATGTAAAAAAGTAAGCACTAATGGACCTCTGGAGTCAACGGGAATTTCATGTAAATTGATTTGTTCCAGCACAGCAAGGCCTAGGTTACTTACGATGTTAATATTTTCAGAACTAATTTTTATTCTTTTGATATTTTCTTAATATTTGGGAAGATTTTAGAGATTCGCCGGTCTCTGATCGGGTCCTGTAATACAAATAAAATCGTCCATATTCAAAACAGATATCCAAAAATCATCGAAATCGATGAGGTTGCGCTCTATCTGTACATTTACCATAACTTTTGCAATAAATATGGATAATATTGTTGATATAATATTAATGACTTTTTGACATGATTTATTGATTTTTATTTATCTTATAGAAATTACTAAATGTATAATACAGATAATTACTCTATGTGATAAATATAAATATAAAAATATCTGATTCTTCCTGCGTTATTGTTCCATTCATCTAAATTCAGGTTTCAAAAATTTTTGAAGCCGTCGCAAATTTTCTATATTTATATATTGTAAAAATATTTGTTTTTAAATAAGTTTCCATCTCCTTGCACTTTCTTCTGAATGTTTATTTTTGCTAATTAATCCATCAAACATTTAATTGAAGAAACTATTATATATTAAAGTAGTGGCTTTGATAAGTATATCGGAATTCTAAAAATTTTTTGAAAGCTGAGAACGGTAAAATTAGTCGTGGATATAAACGACCAACGTTGCCCACGGAAGGTACAGAAGATATGTCACGGATAGTTGAGCACTTCAATTAGGCAATGTATATAGGCTTTCGACAGAAAGCAGCGTCGCAAACCCATTGTAGAGGGTATAAAGGAAGTAAGTGTAAAGAGGATCGTAACGTGATTTTAAAATGTTGATGCAAAAACGACCTTGATCTTGAATATCAAGATCAAATTTTTTGTTGCGAAAAATTTGTTGCGAAGGACAAATATTTCACAAATGACATTCTTTCGTGGAAGAAAAATGTAAAAATTACAATGGCTTTATTCACAACATCCTTATATTCTCCAATCAGATGTAAAATAAAGTAGCATCTATTGATACAGCTTAATAGCCCAAATCTATCATTATATATTGCATATCTTCCTCTTCTAGTTTCTTTTTTCTTTGTATTTTCTTTTCTCGGTATTTGAACAATCTTGAACTCGCATTTCATATTTCAGTCAAGTTTTTTACCAAAATTACGTATAATTCTCTACTTTGATAATAATAACTCTTTGGCTCCCTCTCCACTATTCTATAGGTATTCGTAATCGTAACTGAAACACAATGAAATAGCACAAATTTTTATTTTTGATCATTATAAAATTGTAAGTTTTCTCTCTCGTATGATTGAATCGGCGATCTGTTCTATGTAAGTTCATTTGTAAATATGTATGATGTAGAGCGATAATTAACCTGTTCCTTTTTATGAATGCGGCGCCAATTTGATCTTTGATATGGATTTAAATGTCGCAATATTAATTCTTGATCATCAAATTGTTAACTAAGTCGTTGAAAATCGTATTGTCGCGGAATCTTTTCTGTACACAAAAGTCTCCTATTATTCCTACATTCTTATATGTGTCTCTCTAATTTCTCTTACTAAATGTAAAATGTAGATATGAACACAAATGTAAGATATGAATATATAAATATAAATATATAAATATAAATATATCGTGAATAAAACCAGTTTAAGAATCATTAAAACTTTTTTCCGAGAGAAGAAGTCATTGCGACATTTGAAACATTTGTTTTTCGTGATGAGTAGAATTCTTTCATAATAAAAAATTTTTATCTTGAATTTCAAGATCAAGGTCGTTTTTGCACTAACTCTTTTTTTATAAATCTCTACCAATTTGAAGGTATAGAATCATACTATGATTCTCTTGACACTTATTTTATTTACACCTTGTATGTATATATGTCCATTTGATCTCCAAATCCAAGGATTCCTTTGACAATCCCTCCTATGCAATTCAATAACTTTGTTGCTAATAGGCTGATACATCAATTTATTATTGAACTACCCTAACTTCCTCAACTTCCAGCAAATTTTTTGTAAGTCTACATTACTATTATGTTTTTTCTTTGGTATAACGTACATATTTGAATCTTCTGTATTTGTAACCTCAAAAAAAGACTTGTAGGTTAACTTCCACGCATACGAAATTTTTCTTCCTTGGAAAATGAAACGAAACGTGTCGAATCATTCCCATCGTGATGAAAAGTTGAGATTATCACGCAATGGAAACTACGAGGCTGGTCTACGAAGAACAGAAGAAGAACGATTACGGCGTAGGCGCGAATGGATGATAGAACAACAAAGGCTACGAGAACATGAAAAGTTGAAGGAGAAGAAGATTTTAGAATATGAAATACGTCGTGCTATTGAGAAAGGTTTACCACTGCCCAGAGGAAGATTTTCACATCACAGCCGCAGTAAGAGTAAAAGCAAATCCACGGAAAATCGACATAGAACTGTTACATCAAATACATCTAATACATCTATATTATCTAAAAAGTAAGTATGACTAATCTAAGACACTTCATTTTAGACAATTAAACGATATTGTTTAAGAATAAATCAAAATTACTTTTAAAGCAAATGTTTAGAGGATATATTATAGCATATACATATAAAATATAAGTTTTTTTGCAGATTATAATAGCAATATTAGGTACATATTTATGTGATGTTGAAAGATATAATTTAGTCTTTAATTTATGAAAAGAAAATTAATGTTTAATGAAGTGAATTCTTTTGCATTATAGATTAGAACCATCAGATGGTACAACACCTTTATTTAAAGGACCAGAAGGCACACAGGTTAGCGCTGCAGAACTACGAAGAATTAAAGTAGATATTCACAGGAATGTACCAGGCAAAGCGACAACTGACGATCTCCAACGAGATATTATCAATCCTGAAGATGTTCTGGTCAAAAGAAGAGAGGGTAAAATGTTGTTTTTTTCTCTAATTACCTAAGAAATTTCAGTCATCCAATGAAGAAATACTAAAGGAGTATATGAATTCAAGTTTCTGCAGATTCTGTGCTTTATAAGGTAAAGTTGAAAACCATACGTTACATCTTTTTCTTTTTCTTCCATATGATTGAAATTTAATTAAACATAGCAAGCTTTTTACTTTACTAAATTCATCAGCTGAAGAATAATGGCATTATATAAAAGTTTCTACAGACATGAAGATGATAGTTATCGTATTATCTTTTATGATTTTCAACAATTTATATAATTTTAAAGTTAATATGTAATGTGTTTTTGAATTACTAAGGACGAAGAAAATAGGAGAAGGGATCGAAACCTATATTTAAATGAGGAGAAATAAAAAGTACAACAGTCAAAAACTGTAGAAATTGTGGAATGTGATACAGTCGTTGCTATAAATAATGAAAATTTAGGTTTGTTAATTATTTAAAATTTTAACTTTCTGCCATTGATTTTGTTTAAATTGACAAAATGATCTTTCTGCTTATCATTAATATTTTTCATTGCAAAATATATTGCAACTTGATACAGTATACAATTAGTTATAATCAAATATATTTAAAAAAGATAATAGTCAAACTATGCAGGTATACATCAACAAAGTAAAGGACCAAAAGGTACATTAGTTTATGCTGTAAAACTACGAAGAATCAAATGGTTATTGGTAGAAATGTGTCAAGAAAAGTGATAATTGATAATCTCCAACAAGGTATTATGTATCTAGAAGATGTAGCAGTCAGAAGAGGAAGGGGTAAAATGTTTTTTTTTCTACAATTATCTAACAACTTTCAGTCATCCAATGAAGAAATACTTAAGGAATATATGAATTCAACTTGAAAGATAATCCTTTTGGAATTTTTCGAAAATCATAATTTATAAGTTCAAGTTCCAGTGGATTGTATGCTTTTTAATGTAAAATTCAAAACCATATGTTATATTCTTTCCTGTTTTTTCTAATGCGATTAAAATTTGATTAAGAATACAAAATTTTCACTTTATTAAATTCATCAGCTGAAGAATGATGACATTATGTGGAAGTTTCTACAGACATGAAGATAATGGATTTATCATCATATTGTTTCCTAGAGCATTCAACACAATTTACACAACGCTGAAGTCAATAATGTGTTTTTGATTCACCAAGGATGAAGAAAATTTGGAATACAACGTTGGATTTGAATATTTGGGTATTAAACATATGTATGTGCAATATGTAAGCACAATATCTTTTATCTTGAGTGTTCTAAGAGTGCTTTTATTTCTTTTTGCTATTTTATATTTTCTTTTTCTGTTATGGAGTTTGCACAAAAAATAATTTTTTTAATTATTATACGACAGTAATTTTTTGTAAAAATATACTTTAAATTCTTGCTCCATTTTGTGCATCTGCCATATACTTTGCTATATGCTTGCATGTTTAAAAGCACGAAAGTTTAATTAGGACACCTACTATGGCGAGGTGTCAAATGTATTTTTAATTCAACAGTGGAAGAAGGAACATTAGTCTTGAAGATCAGGAACTTTTCGATTGAAAATTCATCACCAAAGGTTACAATTCTACAATTGAAAAATCAAAATTATATTCAATAATAACTACTTGAGATTAACTATTACATTTGAAAATTCTATAATGAAACAAAAATATTTTTTGCTGAATCTATTTGAATTCATTGGCTTCTTCTTAGATAAATAGACAATTTTATTTCTGCTTCATAGCCATGAAATAGGATTTGGTTTACAAATTTTATAAACATTTAATATTGCACATATTAGGAAATACTATGCAAACAACTGTAAACTAAAAAAATAATTAGTTTTGAAATGTTTAAGTAAAGATTGAGATTTACTTTTTTGATTGCAAAATGTAATATGTTACTGTTAAGGTATAGAGAGGATTTGGAAAAATAAAAAGTTTAAAATTTATTTACAAATTATGTATGCTCTACATGTATGTTACTCTCTGAAGGACTCGACAACCTACTCGCTTGCTTATTTGTTTTCTTCTGATCGCTTTTAATAGCTCCTAACCGCTTTTAATCGCTTTTGATTGCTTTTGTCTCAATAGAAATTTGGATGTCCTCTGACGCTCATATACACTCTCACACGTACAGTATAAATACACCATCTATTTAACACGCCTCCTTACATTTATATCGTATACTTAATCATATTTACATGCTTGTCAAATAAATTAACAGAAAATTTAAAACTTATTCTTACTTAAACTTATTAAAACATAGTTCGATTATTTTTGAGCGGTAGGTTATGCATTTTACTTTCTATACACATCTTACATTTCAAAAATTCCCTTTCAAATTCATTCGATATACCTGTCACTAGCTGCTTTTTACCCAAAATATTCAAGTATCTGAAATTGACGTGTCCTAGCATCCTATGCCATTTTTCCTTTTGACTCATACTGTTACGTTCGGCACTGTTTGCTAAGTGCTCCTTCCCTTTCAATATACTTTTCATTTTATATGTCCCCTTCTCTTTGAACGCTACAGCTGTAAGTTTATTGTTCTCATTTATTACTTTTGCAATATTTCCTTTTGAAATAACCGTATTCTTATTATCTGTTAGTTTACCTGAATTGATCAAATTTGCGGACATTTCTTTCGCGTAAAATACCTTATTTATATGTATTTTATTTTGTTTTCCAAATACTTCAAAGTAGCTTATAACGATTCCAACTTTTGTTGCTTTTACCGGTCTATTATCGCTTAAATATATATTTACTGGTTTTCTAAGGTCGATACATTTATCAAAATAATTTACGTTATTAATTATGTGATCGGTACAACCACTATCTAATAGCCAAATTATTTCATTATTACTTAGTTCGTTCATCTCGCTGCTGTGTGCTGCGTGCGTCCTTGCCATTGTCACGTAAAATTGATACTTGGGTTGTAAGAGAAAAGAAAGTTGAGCTACTAAAGCTGAGTAACCCAACTATTAATTTTCTTTTAATTTAACTTTATTATAATTTTAGCACTTACAATAATAGAATAACACTGAACCGGAGAAAGGGGGTTGTACGAGAACAGCGACTAGAACAAGAACTCCCCGAGCTGGGTGAAGTCTCGGCTTATATACGTTTTGGTTTTAGGATGTTGAGGAGGCTCGGTGTAGGTTGTGATGTGGAAAAGTATCCGAAGGTCGGGGGTCGATATCCTATCTCTGATGTGGACTAAGGTGCGTCACAGCCTTGGTGTAAGCTATGATGATAAGGTGGTAATGTGTCCAAAGGATTCCGAAGCTCGGGGGTTGATGTCTTATCTCTGATGTAGGTTGAGATGTGATTGATGTCACACCATCCATGTGCCTGCTCCTGAGTTGCCCTGCTCGCTCGTGCCCGTTGCTGATTGACGATGGAAGTTTCCACGTCCCCTGCTCGTATAGCCTCTGTTTTCTCTTCCTCTGCCGCGACCACGTGTTGACCCATGCCGACAACTGTTACTGTTTCCCGCTTGCTTCTTCTCGCAAAGTGTCCTACATTTCCACATTCTCCTTTTTTTGCAGCAAAAGTGTTAGTTTTCATTTCTCCTTGATCAAATTTATTTTTCTTCTCCGCTATTTCTATTTTATTCTTCACATACGCTTCCGTTTGATCCTCTTCTTTCAATGTATTTATTAGATACCCTATGTAGCTATACTCTTCGGGTAACGTATTTAGCATGTAATTCAGCTTTTTCTTTTCTTTCACTCGTGCGCCCGCACTTTTTAATTCATTTATTAGTTTTTCAAAATCACTAAAGAACGATGCTGAATCAATGTTCATCTTCAATTATCAAGCCTCATCTTCTTTAATCTCCTTCTGCACACGATCTGTAGTGCTGTAGACTCTTTCAAGTACATCTCGTCGAACTTTTTCATTATTGCATACGCTGTTCGTTCTTCACTAATAAATTCTAGTTGTCTATTCGTGATGGCACTGTAAATTACGTTTATTGCCTTCAGATCCTTTTTATCCCAGTCTGCATTATCTGTTTCAGTCTTCACTCTGGTTATAACGGTATCGCATTCTTCATACCTCAGAAACATCATAATTCTTTTCTCCCATACACCGTAATCCTCGCTATCAAATACCATAAAATATCATAATTTCCGATCTCTCCATTTTGATTGATTTCTTATCCCTTTTCAAGCGTTTCTACGTGGTCGTAGTATTTCTATATCCTTTGAACATTTCTTCCTTTACTGAGATTCACTCAAACCAACTCGCAAAACTACTAACCACGCTCTGCTACCACGTTAAGGTATAGAGAGGATTTGGAAAAACAAAAAGTTTAAAAGTTATTTACAAATTATTCAGCTCTACATGTACGTTACTCTCTAAAGGACTCGACAACTTACTCGCTTTCTTGTTTGTTTTCTTTTGATCGCTTCTAATAACTTCTAATCGCTTTTAATAACTCCTAACCGTTTTTCATCGCTTTTGATTATGTTTGCAGCTGAGACCTGGACGTCCTTCGACACTCAAATGCACTCTCACACGTGCAGTATAAATGTACCATCTATTTAACAGTTATACATATATCAATTAAGTGGAAGATCTTTTAATCATCATGGAAGATATGAAGCATCTCGGAAGATATCACCATAGGATTGTAATTTTGTTAAACATAAATTAGTCCAATCTTTCAAAACTTTTTTAAAAGAAAATTCTTATTTTTTAACTAAAGTTTTAATAGAAAAAAGTTGAGGCTTTTGAAATATATAAAGTCTAAAGAAATTATTAATTCTTAGTAATTATTACTAATAAAAAATATATAATATTAATTATTAATTATTAAATCGTATATATAATAAAATCTATTCAGAATAACATAAAGTAAAGATTGCATTTCGTAACTTAATGTTTCTTATAATTATGGATTTGTGTATATAAAATTGTTTTTGTGATTTCTGGCACTGAAGAAAATTGTAAGCCATTTACGTTCATTTGTACATTTAATCTGAAGAATGACTTGTACACAAAAACGTTATATATATTTGTATAATAAGCAGTCAATTAATGTGATTTATATCTTTAATAACAAATATATATATACATTTTTCACATAATTGACATATGTAATATTAATACAGAAGTAGTAATATAAAATAAGAGATAATGATATTTCTATCTTTTTTATAGCATGTTTACCATTTCATTCGCTTCATACATCTATTATAAAATGTCCTGGCTTACAATCGTTCAGAGGTAGTCAGTTTATTTACATATCAACCTTAAGATTTCTAAGGTCTGTCACAACTGCTAATACTGCCTAATTGTTTCTTTCATGTGCAAGTACGTTGGATGTTTTATTTATAAATAAATTTATTTAACCATAGGAGAAGGATCGAAACCTATATTTGAAAGAGAAGAAATAAAAGGTACAACAGTCAAAACAGATGAAATTGAGGAACGTCGTACAGTTGTTGTTTTAAATAATGAAAATTTAGGTTTGTTTATTATTTGAAATCTTTTACCATTATTTTAACTAGATAAGATACTTCTCTTCATAGTTGATATTTTCTATATACACTAAAATTTTATTTTTCTTCTGAAAAATAACATGTTTAATTTCCAGAAAGCAAGTCGAAAATGAATAAAAAATATACTACTTCTTCAAGAAATCGAAGCCCCAGCCCTCGACATAGATCATCCCGCCATGCCAGGTTTGTGTATTGGTTATTAGATGAACACGATATTTTCTCTTTTTTTTATATAATCTTTCCTATTTCGTACCACTCTTCCATACAATTTCATATTAACATGTTGATCGCCACGTCATGCGTATCTATGTGGGGCCCCCGTAAGTTGGGTGACACTCTTCTTGTTCGAGTTAATTAAATATAGGATATTATATATAGGATATACAACATAGAATATTAAAAACACATTATACCATACTTTTTATTAATTTATATTCTGGATAAAATATTATATTATGCTATATCACATGGTATTTGTTAAAACATCCCAAACACATTTGGGGTGATTTTGGGCACTTCGAACAATATGTTGTAGTTTTTTAAATGTTTTTTCTCGCTTCTTCGCGTGTGACAGTTTGCCTCTTCTTCTCGTAACATAGGGTGCACATCATTCTTATAGGTTTGCCCTCCTGATTCTTACGAATCTCCAAATGGTGGAACACCTTCGTTTTCTTCCGATGGTTGTCCGGCACATCGGACCATTCGGAAACGAGAATTTTCTGAAATTTTCTTATCTGTATTGTTTCGTTTGTGCTTGTTTGGTACACAATATGAGCATTTACTATAGTTGTTCCTAAGAGTAAATGTAGTCCTAATTTCCAATACCACTTGATGCTTTTCCGTATCGTACTGGCATATGAGACCATCTGGTCACTTCTGTCGATACCAGTTTCTCCATTATTGTAGAGTAGTAACTCTCCTTACTTTCAAATATATTTTCACGCTGTCTACTGAATATTTTGAGGATGAAAAAATCACTGATGTACGTCTCGCAAGAAGTATGCTTCTCGACTAAATGAAAGATCTGGGATATCTGCCATGAAATCTCTCGGAATACTCCAGCCGCAAAGCGTACCGACGGTCGGATTTGGGCTCCGCAGGAACTTAACCGAATTACGCTGGGCGACCAACGTGTTAAACATGGATATGATAATATTTTTCATTTTTCTTTCTTTTTTTTATAAAAGTATTGTTATACAGTATAGATAAATAGATAAATAATTAATAATTATTTGATTATCTAAAATTTTTATATAAGATTATGTGAAATTTTATATATAATATACAAACATTATATATGTCGGAGACGAGAGAACACCGAAGCCTCTGGAATTTTGGATAATCCCGCAGCATTGCGATCTAGAGTTTACGACAGCTGTAATTAAACGATTGTAGTTGTTCAATCCGATTGTAATTGTTCGAGATTAGTGATAGTGAGCTTTGGCTCGAGGCGACAGCCCGTCGCCTAACGTAGCCGCGGTCAAGGGATGAACGCTTTGTCTAACAAAGGTATGGAGTAATTCTATAGCTCTCCTTAAAAAGGAAATAGTTGTAACACTCGACAGTAAACAT